GGGCAGGCAGCGGCAGAGGGCGGGGCAGGAGCTAAGGCTCGAGGCTGGAACTGGGGATCATGAGCTGGGCAGCGAGAAGCAAGAAAGATGGGGGCCCCATGCGAGGACGGGGCCTGGCTCAGGAGGGGTTACAGAGGGTGTGGCGGGGCTGAGCATCAAAGGATGGGCGGGTTTGGGGGACAGGAGTCCTCACCATTATCATGGCTGGCCCCAGACTCCGAGAGGGAGCTGCTCTCCGAGTGCAGAACTACGTCCTCTACAGGCGAGAAGGGGGAGACCCGGGCCTTTCAAGGCAAGGCCTGGGTGCCGTCCCCTTCCGCCCCCCCGACGGTCTCCTCCCCGGCCCGTTCCTTCCCAAGAACCCACCTTTACCTGAATCCAAGACCACCCGCGGCTTGGCTCCTCATTTTCCTGGGGCCACCTGGTCAAGTTCCCAGGGGCCCCACCCTTGCCACAGAGCCAGTTTGTCACGACCGCCCTTACGGTCGGGGCCCTCCAGTCCCGCCTGGCTCCCACTCGGCCTGGCCGTCTCCCCGCCCCGCCCCTCGGCCCCCGCCCACGCTCCCCCTTCGCCCGGGCAGCGGCGGGGCGGGCGGCTCACCTTGGCTGAGCTGAGCGAGGCGCGTGCCCAGGCACATTCCCTGGGCGGCGACGACGGCCCCTGCGGCCAGGGCCAGCGGCTGTGGCGGGGGGAGCCCCGGGAGGCCGAGGCGGGCCCGGAGGTCCCCCAGCTGTTCTTCCAGCTCGTGCAGCCTCCGCAGCGCATCTGCCTGCACCTGGCGCCGGCGCCGGCGCTGCTCGCCGCTCAGCTCGGGGGCCAAGGCCAGGCGGCGGGCGGCGGCCGCGATCTGCTGCTGCACGGACACCTCGCGCTCCAGGGCCTCGAGAGCCAGCTCCTGCGGGGCGCGCCCGACGGGGCAGGACGGGACCACATGTGCGAGCCGGCCGGGCACAGGGACCCGGGGGCGGGGCCTGGCCTGGGGCGGAGCTCATTTCTTCCACAGGTGGGGCCTGCCTCGGGTAGGGACTAGACACATCCCTCTGCCTGAGGGTGAGAGGCTTAGGACGGGGCCCAGCACCCTCCCCCAGAGCCGGATCCCACCTCCCTCCAGCCGCTTCCTTGTCACCTTCGCCTCTCCCTGCCCTGGCCGCAACCCCAGCGCCGCCTCTGTACCTGTCCCTCCCCCACCTTGCTCCGCAAGCCCCTCTGTTCACCTCAGCAGGGCACAAGGAGCGGTGTGCTGGGTTGGGGTGCGATGCAGGGTAGGCTCGGGCTGCAGGGGGCCGCCGGCGGACCAGCTGGGGCCGTTCCCCAGGCTCCAGCGGGCACTCGGGGGGCAGCTGGCCGGTCAGCTCCTGGTGGGGGCCGGGGGCAGAGACTACCGAGGGTTAGCTGGGGGAATGGCGCAAAGCAGGAATGACGGCGGAAGCTCCGCAAGTCCTACTAGCAGCTCAGTAACGCCCAGCACCCCACGGCTGCCGCTTCTCCTCCTCCCTCCCAGGTCGCCCCCCCATCCCCCGGCAGGTGGCCCAAATCCCTGGGGCCGTGGGTGTGGGAGGTCGGGAGACCTGCTTTGGAACCTGGAATTTCTTATTTCTCGTAAAGGCGACGCGGTCTATACGCTGCGTATCCTGTCACCCTCCCCTCAGGGCCCAGGGCCGCATGCTGTGAACTGCGTTAGCGTTCCTGGCTGACTGTGTAGACGTTCACACCAAGAGGGGTAAGTCAAAATCGTAACTCACCCCTTGTCAGTTCAGGTCAGGTTTTACTGCCAGATTTTGGAAATAACTATTGTTTTGGAGGGTTTGGGGATTTCAAATTGCTGATAGGGAATTGGGGGCCTGTCCTGCCAGATTTTCCTGACTCTAAGACGTCGAAGTTGAGCTTTGAGGAGCTAGAGGGTGACAGGGAATCTACAGCTCAGACAGGTGGCTCAGCACTCGCCACCCCCACCTGCCTGCCTAGGGGCCCTGGCTCCTCACCCCCCGCCCACCAGACACTTAGGACCAGGCCCTCACCGCCTCCTGGAGACACACTTTGCGGAGCTCCTGAAGTTTCAGGCTCAGGGCCTCCTGCAGGGCTCGCTGCCGGTCGAGCAGTCCCCGCAAACGCTCTGATTTCACCTGGGGGGCAGCCTCTCCGAACAGGGCAGCTAGACACAGAGGGAGCAAAGATCCGAGCAAAGATCAGCCAGGGCGTCCTGGCGCAGCGTGGGGCCAAGGACCAACCCTTTCCAAGTAGGCAGGTGGTGACTCAGAGCAGGGGAAGAGGCAGAGCGGGGAACCAGCCACCCACCTGAGGCACTGAAGGTGGGAGAGCTGATCAGCTGACCTTTGACTTCCATCCTGGTGCCGTCGAGAGGCCGTGGCTGATCGCTGGACAGGGCCTGGCAGGGACGCACAGGAGCCATTAAGGAAGCACGTCCTGCGTCCCCCCAACCCCTGCCCCGACCCAACGTCCTGCAGCCTAGCTGGGAGTAAGGGGTCCCCTGACCCCGCCCTCCTGATTGGCCTGCCCTCTCAGCCTCTGTGGCAGTGTCTGGCCCCACTGGGCCCTGGTACCTCGGCTCCCTTCCCATTGAGTGGAAGCACAGCACGTGGGGAGCTGGGCGGACTTACGACGCCTCCTCAGAGGCCCATGGGCCGCAGTCAGGAGTCTTACCTAGGGAGGGAGAATTAACGGTATAGATTGAACCAACTCTAACAACAGGGGGGCCCTGATGAAGCACCTGGGTCTTGGAACAGTCACCTTCCATGCCACACTGAATCTTCCAACCACCCTTTGACGGCAGTTCTGTGATTATTGCCCCCGTTTCCGAGATGAGGACAGTAAGGCACAGAAGGCCTGACCCTCCCCCGTGGAGCTGTTCCAACCTCACCAATTCCTCATAAGCTCCCGGCCCGGCAGGCCTCAGGGCCTTTGCCCAGGCTGCGGCTGCTGTCTGGAGTGCTCTTTGCCATGCCTCACCTCTCCGGCCCCTGGTTCTCACTTACATGCTGGGGCTTACGTGTCACTTCCAGCGGTGGGCCCCCACCTGGGTCACCTCACAACTGCTGTCCAGCAAGAGACTGTGCTTCCCTTGCACATTCTCGAGGACAAGAAACATACCTGTCCTGTTTTCACGGGATCTCTGGCACTCAGAACACTTCTGAGCGAGCAGTGAGCGCTCAATGAATGGCTGTCGCATAAGTGAGAGAGCCAGGCTAGGGATCTAGCCCAGATCTGTGGGTCTCTACCTGTCCTGACTCCGTCCTGCGGCCCCGGTGCCATAGGGAGAGTGTTCACTCGGCTCCAGGACCCCTCCAGCCCCTCTGCCCACCCCAGTCGGTCCCGGTCCCGTCCCGGGCAGAGGGGAGTCACCCCCGCTGGGACGGTGAGCAGCAAAGTCCACAGCTGCAGATAACAAGCCTCCTGCCTCCTACTTCCTTCTCTGTCCCCAGACACCCTGGCTGACCACAGAGCCTGCCTTGGCTGGCTGCCAGCCCTGCCCTCGTCCCCTCCTCTGGAGTTTGCTCCTTCCCTCCCACATCCTGCTCGGTCCCCAGCTGGGGAGCCAGGTGACATCACCTCCCACCACCTGGCCTGACCTGGGACGGGCAGCAGGCAACTGGGAGGGCCTCATGAGGCCACAGAGGCCCCAGCCCCTCCTAATCCCCAGCTTGCCATGGTGGCCAGGTGTGGAGGAGACCCAGACGGCCAAGGAGGTGTGGGTTCGAGCCCCTTCCCCATCTATCCGTTGCGGGATGCGGCCAAGCTGCTAATGTGGTGTCACCAGTCCTGCTACCGGCTCCCAGAAAACAGGGGTTCCCTGTCCTCAACCTCAGTGGCAGGGGTCAGTCCCCAAAGCCTTTTTGCACACCCAGGCAGCAACACGTGCCCTGCAGATGCCCACCCTCCAAGGCCTGACATTGCCCAGCACAGCAGGGTTTCCTTGAGGTCCCAGCTCAGCCTCTTGGGCCCCGAAGCTCTGGAGCTCCTTCTTCTCCAGCCCCCGGTTAAGCTTGAGGAACTCTCCCAGGGCTCCACCCCAACAGGAACTTCAACGCCTCACTGATGGGCCCATTCACCAGAATTGGTCCCACATCCCACGCTGGGCTGCCTTGAGCCTTCCTTCCCTGGGAGCTCACGGCATCCTGGAAGTCAACACGGGGTCTAGACAGGAACCCCGACTCCACCCTGTCAGCCTGACCTCGGGGACATAGCTAGGGCCTGAGTCATGGGGTCACCAGGTAGGCTAGACACAGGGTCAATGCCCCACACCCTCACACCCAGCTCCCAACCCCCTGCCTCCGCTTGCCTGCCCTCTGCACCTTCGCCTTAGGGTCCAGAACTGCCCCATCCCCACCTGGAGATGGAGAGAAGGGGGATCCCAGCAGTCCCCTTCCCTAACTACCTCCCCCAGCCCCTGAGTCCTGTCGCCTGATGGGCCGCAGCAGGAGAGCTGCAGAGGGGACCCCCCCACACACCCAGAGGCAGGGCAGCAGGTTTTTCAGGTCTGCCCTTCTGACAGCACAACCGAGAAAGAAATTCCTGGCTGTAATGACTGTTTACAACCGAGACGCCTCACCTGGGTGGCGCCCTACCACCCTCAGTGGGACCCCGCATTCCCTGATCTTGCCGCTATTGGGGCAAATACAAACTCCCAGCGCCCGGGACTGCCCCCCACTCTGGGCAAACAGATGGAGGCAGGCTGGTGTCGGCAAGCAGTTTCTCAACAGCCAGGTCCGGGCTTTCCCCAGGGGCGAGGCCCCAGGTTGTAGGAAGGCAGAGGCTACTCCCCAGGGGGAGGAAGGGGGACAGGGAGGAAGGGGGGACCGTGGAGAAGGGGGACTCTGGCTTCTCTTCTACCCCATCCCTTCTTCTCGTTCATTTCTGGCAAGGAATCGGCTTCATGCCAGGAGAGGAAATTGGACATTTTGGGCTTCGCTCCTCTGCTCAGGCCCTCCTCCTTCGCTGCGCCCCTCGCACAGACCTGGCTTTCTCCCATGGGAAGCCGTAGTACACCCTACACCCTTCTCCCCCCACCCTGCCCCTGGGCCCCCTGTTCCCAGGTGCTCACCAACGCCAGAGAGGTGCTGTGGGGTGGCCTCAGGTACCTCAAAAAACAGCTGTCCCAGCCAGGCCCTGTTCCAGCTGGTGGTGGCAGCAAGCGGCGAGCACAGGGGCGGACGCCTAGGCCGCCTCCCACTAGGCAATAGCCCAGCCTACCTGGCCAGGGACTGGGCCGGCCCATACCTCTTAACCCTTGCCTGCCTGTCACCAGGGCTCAGGACACGCTTAGGGACAATCTCAGGGCCGGGACCCTTCAGGGTGTCCAGCATGGCCGAGAAAAGAGCCCAGACGTCCCCGCTCACCCCAGTCACCTAGTAGAGAACTAAGGAAGAAGGGCTAAGGGTTGTGGGAGTGGGCTGCCTCCGGTCCTACCCGCGTGCCCACGAGACCCTGCCCACCCAAGGGTATTACCTGGGAGCTGGGGATGGAGTTCTGGGGACGTGTTAGGCACGCGGGTGTAAATCGAGTACGTGTCTCTTGGCAGCAAGCATCACATGCCTGAGGCCCCTACCTTCCCTCCCAGGACAAGGCACGGGTGGGAGAAGGTCTTGGGGGGACTGCCACCCTCACTGAGGTAGCAGTTTCCCAAACTGGGGACAGAGGAGGTCAGCTTCTCAAAGGAAAGACCGGGGCTTCAAGACCCTACTACCTTCTGCACCTCCAGAGGAAATCATCCCAGCAAACTGACAAAACACGCATGTTTTCACCCCTCCTGGTCCCTACGAACCTGGGAGGATGACGCAGACCCAGCTCTTCATAGCCAGCTCATAGATGTGGAAGCTGGGGCTTGGAGAGGTGAAGAGGCCTGATTCTGATCACAGAGGCCTAAGAGCAGGTGGACTCAGAACTCGGGAGGCCGGGTCCTGGGCTGGAGGCGGACAGAGGCTACTCCTGCAAGGGAGGAGGAGTGGGGAGGGGGCTCATGCTTCTTCACATCCAGGCTGGCTCTGCCCCACTCCTCCCCCTTGGGCATTTCTGGCCAGAGTCAAGGAAATTGAGGGCTCTGGCCTGCCCCGGCACATACCACACATCCTGTGCTCCATTTGGGACCATCTGTTCTGTGACCTCAGGGCCCAAGCCCAACCTGGGCCCCCGCAGCAGCCCAGGCTGTGACGTGAAAGAGCAGAGTGAGGAAAGCTCCCTCCCCACTCGGCGGGGGGGGCCAAGCGTGGAGGGGAGCCCTGTATAAGCAATGCCCCGCCCCATATATGTAGATGCGTGCCACCAAGGCCTCCCGCCACCCTGCCCACCTCTCTTCCTGGGGGTGAGATTTCTGGCGTGGGACACAAAGGCTCTTTTCACCCACCGCCTTCTCCCCCCTTCACTGCCTAGGGCTGGTGAAGGCAGCAGCCATAAGGTGGGTGGCTGGGTGTCAATGGGGAGTGTCCCCTCAGCCATGGCCTCTCCCGCCTCTTGTGGGACAGCAAGAATGCTGGGAAGAGGGACACTTATGAAACCAGAGCTGAGAGGGCCGAGGGCATCTCTGGCTGGCAATGCAGACTGAGTATCAAGGCTTGGCTTTCCTCATCTGTAAAATGGGTAAACAGCGGTTATAGGGCCGACAGAGGCCACAGTCGCTTTGGAAGGCATTTCAAAGTACAAGGAAACTCACACCACGTCATTAATGACGGGCAATAACAACAATAGTAAGCCCATGCAGAGGTGGGCTGGGGCAGGAGTAAGGAGGGGAGAGCAGGGCCAAGCAGACAGGTGGGGCAGAATCACCCGCACACGTCCTCAGCCTGCAAGATGGCCAACCTCTAGGCCCCGCCCCAGCTGGGACCTGAGCCCCACGCGGCCTCCTGTAGGGGTAGCCAGCCCGGCTCTGGGATCCAACCCCGCCCTGCCACCAACGGCTGCCCCGACTAGTCACTTGTCCTCTCTTTGCCTCAGCGTCTTCATCTGTAAAACGGGGGTGATGACAACAGGATGTACTTCACAGGACTGTTGCAAGCATGACGTGAGTTACGACACTCACAGCGTGCCTAGCACGGTCACTGGCCCTTGGTAACTGCTGGATAGGTATTGGCTGTCATAATGACAATATTCCTCCCAATCCAAACTCAGGAATCAAGTGTGTGTGTGTATTTTTTTTTTTTTTTTTTGAGACAGAGCTGGTATCCTTCAGCTTCACCTGATAAATCTGAAACAGAGCTGTTTTCCAGCCAATAAACTTGTCCCAACTCTCACTATTCAAAATCAGGAACTAAATGTATTCAGATGCACTGCTGAGACAGAGTTGGTATCCTTCAGCCTCCAAACCCTCCCTACTTGCCACAGACATTGAACCCTCCCTAACTATCAAACCAGACATATTTGAAACAGAGTTGTTTTCCATAATTATCAGACCTCTCGCTACTCAACATCAAAAATGCAGGAACCAAACCTATTCAGATAAATTCTCCAAACACTCACTATCCACATACAGGAACTGAATGGATCTGGATACACCTTTGAGATAGAACTGGTGTCCCGTACTCTCTGAGCTTCCCTTACTCACCAGGCAAAATGCAGGAACCAAATATATTCACACAATACAGTCCTCTTACTATCCCAACTCCTGCCACTGGAGCTCGGGGAAATGAATTGATTTGAATATATTTTTTAGCTGGAGCAGTTATCCCTCATTATCTGAACCCTCCCCACTCACTATGTAAAACGCAAAAGCAAAAAACCCTTCAGATAACTTGGTATCTTTCACTGCCTGAATTATCCGAGCTCTCCCTCTCAGAAGTCAGGTGCCAAAGAGACATTGGGACAACGAAGAACGCTTGTGTTGTTATTAATACGTTTGGATAGTGGCACCTGGGTGGCTCAGTCGGTTAAGCATCTGACTCTGATCTCAGCTCAGGTCTTGATCTCAGGGTCATGAGTTCAAGCCCTGAGTTGGGCTCCACGCTAGGCGTGGAGCCTACTTAAAAAAAAAAAAAGGTTTGGATAAATGTTTCAGATAAGAGATGGGTCTAGTGGGGCGCCTGGGCGGCTTAGTCGTTAAGTGTCTGCCTTCGGCTCAGGTCATGATCCCAGGGTCCTGGGATTGAGCCCCGCATCGGGCTCCCTGCTCCGCGGAGAGCCCGCTTCTCCCTCTCCCACTCCCCCTGCTTGTGTTCCCTCTCTCGCTGTCTCTCTCTCTGTCAAATAAATAAATAAAATCTTAAAAAATAAATAATTAAAAAAAGAGAGATGGGTCTAGTATCTCGTTATTTGAGCTCTCATTACTCTCTATGACAAATGCAGGAACAAAACACAACTGAATAACACGTTACCTTTTCGCTATCCAAATTCTCCCTGCCTGTCCTCAGAATCAAGGAGATTCAGTGAGAGAACCCTGTATTGTTCTTGCTGTTATTGTCACTACTGGACAGGACTGATTCTAACACCCAGTGACACACACACACCCCCTCCACACACACACAAACACAAACACACCTGCCCCCCAGAGGTGGGATGGACTTAGCACCGAAATTTGTACTGCTTACAGCTGAGAGGAGGATAGAACCCACCCCCCACCCCCATCCCACCCCTACCAAGCCCTGAAGCCTCTGGCCTGGAATGGACTTTTTCAGGCCAGGAAAGCAGAAATCATGCACACCCAGGATCAGGACTAGGAGATGGGGGTAACGTGACATGGAAGAGTCACACATACTCCTGAGTCCTGCATGTTTGCTCACCACACCCCCCACCTCGACATGGGGCAGCCCCCAACCTAGCCAGGCTGGAAACATGATCCAGACCTCACAGACTCCCAGAGATTCACTGAATAATTTAGGGTGTTCTTTCACACTTGGGGAGGGTGGGGGATGTAGGAACAGTTCCATGCCCTCCTGGGGCAGGGAGACAAATGCAAGCTCTGCGCGAGATCACTGGGTGGAGGTGAAGAACATCACATACGAAAACCCCTTTAGCCATACAGGGCCCACAAGGCTGTTTGCTCTTGTTCGTGCTAAGAGAAGCATTTGGGATGAACTTGAGATCATGGAAACAGTGGAACCTCCAAGTTCAGGGGCAGGGTATAACAGGACCCCAGTTCTTCTGGGCTGAGAGGAAAGTGGGTGTTAGGAAAAGGGAGATCTGAACAGGGTGGAGGGGTGTGGTAAGGAGTAGAATGAGGGCCTGAGGTTGGGAGGGGATGAAGGAAGATAACAAGAAGGAGTGTAGGGGGCAAGACAGAATCAGTGTGATCATAGGATGGAGGCCAGGACACCAGCCAGGGGATGGGATAGAGTGAGGTTCCGGACAAGGGTCAGAGAAAAGTAGGGCGCAGCAAGGAACAAAAGAGCAGGGCAGGGTCAGTATAGAACAGTAGTCAGAAGACATGATGAGGGACAGGCCAAGACGGTGGTCAAGGAAGGGGAGAGGGAAAAGGGCAGGTTCAGGATGGAGGTAAGGAACAGGAAAAGACTGGGACAGAATAAGGATATGAATGAGGACAGTGATGGGACAAGAGAAGACGGGAAAACAGCACAGGGCTGGGGGCAGGGACAGGGCAGGAAACAGAGGGATGGTCTAAAGGGGGTGGGCCAGGATGGAGATGGGGAGTCAGGAGGGGACCAGGAGGACAGCACAGGATGGGGAGAAAGTTTAGAAATCAGAGGTCAGGAATCAGGACAGACCTGGATCAGACTGCAGTCAGGGGGACAGGACATGACTGGAAGGGGTTCAGGGGCTGGACAAGAGTTTAGGGAACAGACAGGTCAAGCATCAGGCCAGAAATTGGGATGATCAGGACAAGGCAGGATGAGCCTCAGAGATGGAACAGGGTCAGGCCAAGGATCCTGAGAACAGAACTGGGTGGGGTCTGGGGTCAGGGCTGGGTTTAAGGGAACAAAACAGGGATTGAGGATCACGCTAGGCCAGAATATGGTTAGGTCGGGGGTCAGATCGGAGGTCCTGAGGCCAAGACTGACCAGAGATCGAGGTTAAAAAAAGATGTAGTCAGGTCAGGTGGGGGTCGGGAGCGAGACCACAGGGTCAGAGGTAGCGGGTGCGCGCGCAGGTACATCCCCTGTTGGCGTTTCCGGGCCCTCACCCCGCCCTGTCTCCTCCCTTCTTCTCCCGGCGGGCGTTACTCACCGAGGGTCCTCGTCCCGCGACGTAGGCGGGGTCGCTGCGGGCCAGGAGGGGTGGTGGGTGCGCCCCTCCCTCGCCGCCCCCCGCTCGTCCCCGGCCTCGCGCCTACTCCCCTTCCGCGCCCTGCCCGTGGGCCGCGTTCGGCCGCGCGACTGTT